TCTCTCTCACTGTCTCTCTCACTCTCTCTCTCTGTCTCTCTCTCTCTCTCTCTCTCTCTCTCTATATATATATATATATATATATATATAATCCAAAACAACTAACAATTATTGAACACTCTTTATCTTGCCTTGCTAAGTTAATGTAGATATCTAAATGTTTTATTTTCTTTCTATTCTCTTTACCGGGTCTGGTCCGTTTTGTTTTGTTTAATTTTCTTTTCTTTAATTTTCTTTAATTCATTATATATATATATATATATATATATATATATATATATATATATATATATATATATATATATGTGTGTGTGTGCGTGTGTGCGTGTGTGTGTGTGCGTGCATGTGTATTCTAGAATAATTTTATATGTTTCAGTGGAATATTTCCATGAAATTATTATTGAAAAATGAGTCACAGTAGCACATTTTTATTCTCTTACTTCCTTGCAATTTCTACCTCCATGGTGTACATAGCGACACCTCATAACGGCGCTGATCCTGAGGATAACGCCAAGTGATCTTGCTACATTATATTTGCGTCAGTGATCTCATAGACGGTTTGATTTTTTTTTAAATTATAATCCCGTCATGTCGCTTCCCGGAACTTTTAGATTTCAACAGTTTATTTACAGCAATAATTCATTGTAGAGAACAACATTCTTTGTGAAGAAATGTTCATCCATGTATTTACTCTGACTTTCTTAATCTTCTCGATGTATTTTAAGTTATTTTTTATTCCCGCTTATAATTAGATCACTACATATTTAGTCATGTCTGAATTGAGGTGACAGGAGAAACAAACCTTCAAATTGGATTTGTTTATTGTCATTGCCAATGCAGGAAGTATTAGGAATTATCACCTTTTCTGTGGTGTCACTTGGCGTGAGATCACTTCTTAGTTAAAGCATTTTATTGTTGGTATTGTTTCCTGTGAATCAATAGTTCATGTATTGATTGGGGATTCCGTTTAAAATCCCACTTATTGGATTAAAGTTTCGAAATAGTTTTAATATGGAGTCTTTCTTTAATTTCGTTTCCTGAGGCGACATCCCTGAAAGAAATTGTTGATTCAAAAATTAAATAGGAAAATTTATAACAGACTCATCATCCCTCTGTAGCAAGTCAAAACCTTTGTATATTTTCACATCTTATGTAATATAAGTTGCAATAAGTCATGACTGAGTAGTAGTTCATCTAAATCAGAGGTCGGCAACCTTTTGGATAGAGCAGGCCAGACAGCTATGCAGTTTTTCGGAGGACGGCCTTGATATCAAATATACTATAATAAATTGTCTCAACCGTAAACCGTTCCGTCCAGAAGGCTGGTCTGGGGGTTTAAAGAAAAACAATGAAGTTAATGCTATAATATTTAAATAAGTTCCTTATTTTACGATATGTGTATCAGGATAACAACTAAAGCATTAAAAAAAATGAAAATTCCTCACTACCGTTAAGTTGGCGGGCCGGATAAAAATCATTCGCAGGCCGAGGGCTATCGACCCCTGATCTAAATTCTTATGATTAGGAATACTTTCTTAGTTAAACTAGCATTTCAACACTTGTGGCATTAATTGATACACCATACCTTTTAATATCTTTTGGAGTACGGCGCAATAAGTCATTGTGATCTAGTCTGTTTTTTTTTATTATGGTTACTTTCTTTGAACTATTGCTTCGTAATTTGAGATATCAACTGATTCATCATATATTTTTCTTCTTTTATATTTTATTCCATAAGCATACAAGATTCGAATACCATGTCTAACAACTGGAGTAGGAATATTGCTTTTTACTGCTTGTAGATTTTGTACACTGTTGAAACATTTTCTATCTACCGAAGTATAAATATTATTAATTTCAATTATATGACCATTGTCATAATTTGAGGGATACTTCTATCATTACTGTGGTTTTGTAACCTAATGTAAGTGACTATTTTCATATCACCTACGTAAAGCTACGCATATTGTCAAAGCTCTCCTATAATAGGATACTGGTACGATGACAGATTTGACAATTAACACGAAAGAAATACGGCCTTACATCCGGCGGCATCTGATATTTATCCTCCCATTGAAATACAAAAGGAAGGACAGAATTGTAAGAGAGTTGATATTCATTTTGATGTGTTTGTAATTGGGATTCATTGGATTACGAAGATCGTAATGGCGGTTCTATGCAGCTAAGCAGTTTTATCTTACATTTGTAACAGCATTCATTGTATTTATCATCTGATGGACGCGCTGATGTAAAATGTTTTGAATTGCAAAACAATAAACATGTGTCCACATGAGTGAAACAATAAGTTGTCTTCTGAAAATGATATATATATATTTTCAACCCCTGCATTTGGTCTACACAATAGAAAAATCTGAAGGGTGTCATTGATCGCAATAACTTAGAAGCGGTCAGCTTGAGTAAAGTCTTAAAATTCCTTAGTACGAGATAGAAATAGATATATGTAGAGAGGGATGGCGAGAAAATTCTTTTTCCTGTTCTACAGAAATAAAGGGATTAGTTAAATACAAAGACCATGAGATATTGATTGATTAAATTCATGCTTCCATAAAAGTGGTCGCCGAATTTATTGTGATGAATACAAAAAATCGCAATTGCGTCACACTCGGTAGTATCATGCTGGTCGCATGCAGCCTGAGGGTCGTATTTTGTGCAGTCCTGTTCTAAGCCTTAGTGTGCTTCTATCAACAATTCTGTCGACACTAATTCTTAGTGTGCTTCTGTCAACAATTTTGTCGACACCAATTCTTAGTGTGCTTCTGTCGACAATTCTTAATCTGTTAACTTCTATTCAATATGCAATTTCTTGTGATTCCTTTTTCACTTTCCAGCATTTTTGTGAAAGTGCAATTTTTCATTGCACTTTCTTTTTGTGTTTCTTCTTTTTGTCTTGCAGCAATTATTCCTCTTTGAACTTCAGCACTTGGCGAAGTTTCTTGTTTCTATAACATAGCAATATTTTCGTTTGTTTAAGTCTTGTTTAGAAAATGGCTTTGCATTGTGTTAACTTCCGTCATCTTTCTACTGATTAAAGACAAGTAATTTCTCTGAGCACGACAGCATCCGTTTCTCTGTTGTCTTTCTCGGGGATTCTTTGTCTTGCCTTCCATTCGTTTGTCAATCGATGTTTTCTTTCATTTTAATATTCCATAAAAATGGAAAACTATCAAATTTATTGCTAATAAAAATCGTGTGGCAAATGCAAAGACTAGTTTATCCTATTTTACCGAAAAAGAAAATAGATAGACGGAAATTCAATAATATGAGCGATGCAATAAAAAAGGAGTAGGAAACATGTTATTTATTTCTTATGAAAAACTGAGTGACAAATACAAAGAGTCAGTTTGTACAAATGTTCTTGAAAAAAGAATAAAATTAACATATACCAAAGTTTCAAGGAAGTTTTACAGAAATCATGAAATTTATTGCTAACAAAATATGACTCTTAAGCTGTTAAAGTAAAGAATAATAAATACAAATCTATGTATAAAATTCTGTGACTTCCGTCCGTCTGCCTCTCACACCCTCTAAAATAGCCATACATTGACCAATCGAAACCAAATTTTGAGGAGAAATGCAAACAGGCTAGGGGGTACAAAGTACAGTTGATTTTACTACCGTACGTAGCTTAATACAATAAATTTCCATTAATTCCCCCCCCCAATTAATGAAAATTGAAAAAACAAAACAAAAAACGATTGGTATGCGAAATTGAACGAAACGTAGAGTTTGTAAATCTCGACACAAAATGTTAGCGATAAGTTACTAAATAATACTAAATACCGTGAAAATTTCAACACGTTGATGCGTGTTGCAAACAAATTCTTGTGAAAAAAAAATCACAAAATTCATATAAACCAAAATACCAACAGAAACTTTTAAATTATCAACAACAAAAAGAATTAATTTAGTTTTTTGAAATATCATATTTTTCAAATAATAAAAAATCGCGTAATGTTTTTTTTTTTTAGCGAAAATCAAATTGATATTCGGTTTTAAATACTGTAAATACAGTATGCGTTTTTATGCAAGAAAAACACGAATAATCGAACGAAAAATGAAATATCTTTTTCTGAAGATGTTAATTAATTTTAAAATTTCGGTTGATATTATATGAACACATAGGAAATAAAAAAATCTTATGTGTTTTTATGTTAAATAAACTGAAAGAAAAGATGGCAAAGAAAAGTATTTTAATTAAAATCGTAATGAACGAGTGTTCTCTCAGGGAGGTCCATTGAGCACCTATTAGGATTTAAAACTAACCCAAATGAGCTTGTGGGGGGGGCGATTTTCAGCCATTCAGCAGAAGGGAGCAGACAAGATTCTAAAATTCTCTTGTACTGCTCGCTCCTGAGGGTCTTTTCAATGGGTTTCAAGAAACCAGTTCCATGAAAAGAAAAGCATCCCCAGAACATTATACTGAACGGATGCTTGACAGTACTTACTGCTAAATTCAAAGCTTCTTCTTCGGACTTTAGATCGCTTATCCTTTGAATTTACCTCAACTTTCGTTTCATCGAAGAAGAGAACATTTAGTAAAAAAATCAGGTGAGTCACTTTTATCGAACAGCATTGTATATTTGATATTTACAGTCCGACAAATACTATGAAACAAAATAAAAATATTCTTATTAAAAAGTAGTTCGACGTGTATGAATAAAATTTGCAACATCCACATTTTAGAAATACATTAATAGCTATTTCCCAGTAAAAACGAGTGTATTTGTGATCTATTTCTATTGCAAACACACACACACACACACACACACACACACACACACACACACACACACACACACACACACACACACACACACACTAATGTAAACACAACCTCAAATCCAAATATTAACAGAGATAAACACAATCCTGTTTTTGCAAACATTCAATTAATTTCTGATAAGGAGTTTGTAATCGTCTGCTATTTGCTTTTAATATGTCCTTTACTGATTGACGTTTTCATTTTCAAAACATTGTAGACATGCCGAAGGCGCTGTTCAGCCATGATGCAACTGTGTGGTGTTTGGCGGAAGTTGCCGCTTTTGTATCACGAATATTTGAGAGAGAAACAGGTTTCACTCGTTATAACCACCAACGAATATTCAAAAGGACTTGTGAAGGGATTAATTTTTCCGTCTACAGACAAGAAGAAAGGTAAACGATTTGCAGATCCTCGTTTGATACCAAAACCTTTTAAGAATGATCAACAGTTGATACTGGTTTTATTTCACTTCTGAGATAAAATAAGTTTTTTTTCATAAGCATATACATAGACTTTCTTTTTAGAGAGAAGTTCTAGATTTAGATTCTTTACTAGTTTATCTGCCATGTAATAATTTTTAATGTTTATCGCAAATCGAAAGTCATTTTACATTTTAAAACAAGCGTTAAATAAACAGCATGGACCAAATATAAACAAACATATAATAATTTGGCAGTCAAGAATAGTATGTAGTAGTACAGAGACAATATAGCATGGAGAAATCTGACGCGAAAAATATAGCAATTTTATTAAATTCTTTGGCATGTTAACGGTTGGTTGCCGTGACTAAACAGTTAAATTTTTCAACATATGTGGCGGGCTTTCGAGAATGCAGGATTTGAGTTCAAATCTCGTCGGAGGCTACTTTTTCAAATCACTACCGGTTATTTAACGATCATAAAACAACGTGAAAATCTTGATAGAAAACAAAAATAAAATAAACTATGAAACAAAAATTGCTCAAAATATTATAGAAGACACACTTCAGAAATTAATCTCGTCAAGTTCAAAAAGCAAAAGCACAAATAAAAGTACTACATCCAACCAAGTTCTGAAAGTTTAGGTTTTAATTTTGATTTTTTCCCAGTGTTCCTTTCTGATTTTGTCTTTAAATGAAGTAATAATTAATTTCTGCGATCTCCAAAATTGGTGTACATATTTTACCTACAAAAATTGCCAACATCAGTTTAGTGAACAATTAAATTAACAACGTTTAAGCTGAACTATTACGTCATGATGCCGAGAAACCAAAAATGTTCGTTCGGTTTATTAAGAAAAAATAGATTTTTAAAAATTTTTTGCTCTGATGAGTGAGTACAGATAAACATGTTTAGCTGTTTTTAATCCTTACTATATTTCGGTATTACCGTTTTACGGTAATATATTGTTTTTGCTACCCTCCCTTTTTGTTATGAAAAGCGTGTTAATATGTTTCCTTTTATTGCCCTAAAATTGCTTTTAAAAATTTTCGACATTTACTTTATTGCATTATACATTTACCGTTTTGCTCCACTATCTTTTACCATTTTTTAAGAAACTTCATAATGTTATTCTTTTTTTGAATAAAGTGTAACTTTTGGCAAAGTTAAGGTTGATTAATTTCGCTTACTGTAAGATCCTTTGGAATCAAAATTGCTGTTTAATATATTCCCTTTTTATTGGCCGTCACCATTTGTTTTAGAAATCACATACAGACGTACAGTCTAATAGGTTGTTCTCACTTGACTTGCGCTGGCGTAAATGACTATCGATGCTTGATCGGGATATTTTACTTGTTTTTGCTATCATTATATGACATTAATTATTCCTCGAGATTTTTCTTGATTACTATCAACTACAAACTGTCTACTCGTAGCACCACAATAAATTCTCGACCCCTTTTTGACGCATATTCCCAGCAAAAATACAGTTTTTTTTAATTTGCCTCACATTTTATCTTTTGTGTTTTAAAAACAATATCTACTGAAAATATTGCTCATTTTCTTTCATCTTTAATTTTATATACAATATCGGTCCTGGCCGAGTCTCTTGACTTTCAATAACATCCTTCCTGCTCTCTTTTCTATAAATATTTTTATGGCAGTTGTTTTATGAGCTCTCTTGCTTGTTGTTTTTTTATTCTCCACCCGCCACAGACAAATTGTACATATCGGAACTAGTTAGGACTACACAGAGACTCTGAGGTATTATGGTGGCTGTAGTTGAATGCTAAGTAAGAATGTCGTTTTGGTGTAAGGAATACTGTGCTATGTTTGGGTTAGTATTTGTGATTAGCTAAGTTTAAGGTAAGAGAAATTGAAGACAAACCTTCCCCTACCCCAGCTTTTGGCCTTGTGCCACATTTTTCTGTTTACAAAATAGATATTACTCTCCTCCTTTCTACCTACAACGCATGAATTTAAGCGTACTATCAGATTGTCAACTAAGTCTCATTAGTTTATTGTTGAAATTGGTTGATGCAACCGTAAGTTCTATTCCAATAGTTTATTTTCTCGCACTTCTCGTCTGTGAAACTCTCTTCCGGTTTCTTGCTTCCCTTCCGTCTACAATCTTGAAAATTTTAAATGTAACGTCAATCGCAATCTGTTTTCCTGAACACTGTTATTTTTTTATTGTCCATTCTCCTTACTAAATTCTTCTCATTTTCTTTCACTCCCAGTAGTGTCTTACCTCCAAATACACCAATTTTGCATTATGACCAGTCTGTTACTATTTTTGCTGTATGATAGAGTCATTCCAAAAACTTAGCAAAGTGCTGAAAAACTGGAAAAATTAGAAACACTTAAAAGACTGCTGGATTGCTATGTGATATCCATCCTCGTATATGATAGTGAATGCTGGATAATATTACGGATCAGGAGAAAACTGTCAGCAACAGAAATGTGGTTCTACAAAAGGATACTGAGAATTTCATGGACGGAGCGAGTAAGCAACGAAGAAGACAAAGAAAAATGACAACAAAAAGAATGATTATGTTCAAAATCAGGATTAGAGAGCTGAAACTGAAATTCCTTTAACACATAAGGAAGAAGGATGCATTGGAAAACTTAACCTTCACATGGCATACTGAAAGCAAGAGAGATAAGGGTAAGCGGCGGGGGGAGGTAAACTATCTGGCGAACTTGTGTGAATGAATAGCGGAACTAGGAGCGGGTGCCTTAGAAAAAGTAAGAAAAAATGCTAATAGATACAAGAAAAAACGAAGATTTGAGGAGTCATGTTTACCCATGTCCTGAAGGGATGTGGCTCAATAGAAGAAATAAATACGATGCATTGACCTGTTTGAATTGACCGCCAGAGGATGGGTGCACGCGATCAGCCACAATGTCTTGGTAGGTTGAGTCTTTTAAACGATCTTTTATTGATATGAAGAGTCTTAATGTATGCCAATAAAATATTCCCCATAACATTGCACTGGCACTATCAACAAGCCTTAACCGTTCATAAAAGACAGGATGGATCCATACTTTCGTGTTGTTTACACCAAATTATGGCCCTACCATCCGAATATGGCAGCAGAAATCGAGGCACATCCGATCAGGCAACGTTTTTGCAATTATCTATTGTCTAAATGTTGTGATCCTTAGAAAAATTCTAGCTTGAGTTTCATCTTATTTTACAGGCGTAGTCTTTTGTTGTAGTCAATCTTCTTAAAAGTTCAATGTATGGCGCTTTCAGAGATGTTTTTCTGTATACCTTCGTTGTGGAGCTTATTTGAGCAATTGTTGTTTTTATATCAGTTTGAACCAGTATCAACCTTCGACCACTTTCAAGACAAATTATCGCCAATACAGTAATTTACTAAGCGCAGCTTAGATTCGTTGATATAATTATTTACTAAGCGTAGCGTAAGCACCCAGTGAGTTTCGAACACACTACTTAGATTTCCGCCAATATAAGCAAATTTTTTAAAATATCTACTGTAAGTCCTAGAGATGAGTGTGCATAAAGATTCTAGCTGACCAGCAGTTTTTGAAAAAATCAAAGGCGCTCATGGCTATTGTGGTATGGATTATATCCCCTTATACCTTTTTCTTATTTAAGTAAGTCTAGCTGGGATAAACTCCATTAATATTGGAATTATGCTTCAGTTACGTTATAACTGCTTTCGTCTTTTCACTATAATTCATTCAACTTAGAATCTTAACATGGAACATTGCATAACACCACAAAGGTTCGACGTCGACCCTGACCATTCCACAAGCATGCTGCATTCAAAGACAGATGACCTTTCTTTACCACACTAATTCATGAAATTTAATGAGATTTATTTGATCCCCACTGAGTCAGGTTATGACACAAGGTCAGTTTTTAACGTGGGGATCCGAGTGTTTTCACACGGGCCGCTGAAGCTGGTCTTAGCTGGTCATAGCTTGTCCAAGCTGGTCTAAGCTAGTCATAGCTGGTCCAGGCCAGAGCCTGTCCAAGCACACAGGGACACAGGGACAGATCCCTGTGCCAGGGAAGTAGATATTTACTTGACCCCCAACTGAGTTAGGTTGTGACATAAGGTCAGTTTTTAGCGTGGAGACTCGAGTGTTCTCAATCGGGCCGCTGGTCCATGCTGGTCTTAGTTGGTCATAGCTGGTCCAAGCTGGTCAGAGATGGTCTAAGCTAGTCATATATGGTCTTGGCTTGTCATAGGTGATTCAGACTCGAGCCAGTCCAAGCTAGTCGTAGCCGTGATACTACTAGCAACAGGACCGAAGCACAAGTGCCAGGTTTATTTACTTGACCCCCACACCGAGTCAGGTTGTGACACAAGGTCAGTTTTTAACGTGGGGACCCGAGTGTTTTCACTCGTGCCGCTGGTCTAAGCTGGACATAGCTTGTCTAAGCTGGTCAGAGCTGGTCTAAGCTAGTCATAGCTGGTCCAGACCCGAGTCGGTCCAAGCTAGTCGTAGCCATGATGCTACCAGCAATAGGGTCGAAGCACAAGTGCCAGTAAGTAGATATTTACTTGACCCCCCCCCCCCCACTGAGTCAGGTTGTGACACAAGGTCGGTTTTTAACGTGGGGACCCGAGTGTTTTCACTCGGGCCGCTGGTCCAATCTGGTCTTAGCTGGTCATAGCTTGTCTTGGCTTGTCATAGATGGTCCAGGCCGGAGCCGGTCCAAGCTAGTCGTAGCTATTATACCCCCCAGCAACAGGGCCGAAGCACAAGTGTCAGGGAAGTAGATATTTACTTGACCCCCCCACCCCACAGTGAGCCAGGTTGTGTCATAAGGTCGGTTTTTAACGTGCGGACCATAGTGTTTTCAATCGGGACGCTGGTTTTAGCTGGTCATAGTTTGTCCAAGCTGGTCTAAGCTAGTCATGGCTTGTCATAGCTGGTCCAGGCCGGAGCCGGTCCCAGTTAGTCGTAGCCATGATGCCCCCAGCAACAGGGCCGAAGCACAAGTGACAGGGAAGTATCATTCATGAAATTTAATTGGTCGGCATAATCATGCGTAAATGCCTATATTTATCAAATTACTGCCACGTCATTAGTTGATTAGAAATTTGAATAAAAAGATAATTTATTCCCGTTTACTTAATTAAGTAACCATTGAGTCTATTTCTCAATAAAATTAAAGTGATTTTATCACCATTATCTAAAATTGTCTTTATTTTTAATGCATTGCTTCTGTTTATATAGAAACCCTTACGGCTATTCTTGTTGCAAAGTCAATGCAAGGCGCTGGCGGACGTGCTTACTTTACTTTGGATCCTACAGAGACCAGCCTCGACTACAGTATAACAATTGTTACAGACAAAGAAAGAAGCAGTAAGTAGCCAAATATTTAATGTACACTTTTGCATATTTCACTTCATGCATGTTTCTTGTGCACATTTCGCAGTAACTATGCAGACTTTGAAAATAAGTCGCCCATACATCTTTGTGTTCGGAAGCTTTTTATTTATCAAAGAAATACGTAATTTAAAAAAAATACCTATCAAAATCCACGCACATTACCTGACTAAAGCCTCTTATACTAGATTGCATTTTAAATGAGAATAGTTTTCCTGATATAGTTTACACCGAGAATGTCAATGAGGGTAACCCTTCTGGGCGGGTGTAATGTATATTCGACCATCCCATCTCAAGTATTGTACTCCAGGTTTCGTTTGTATTTTAAAATGTCTCTCGTTTATAAAATACACATTTAAACATAAGAAGACGATAGTCCTAACCTAAAAGAGTAGTAAGAACAAAAAGCAGGAAAACTCACTTGAAATCTTTCAAAACTCTAATAAGACGATCTATTATCATCATCGTCAATCGTGCTCATTGTCTGAAAGCAAAGGTAGCAGTAGAATAAAACAAGTCGTGCATAGGAAGTTTCCTCAAATATCCGGCAATCTTTTCAGTTTATTTGTACAATTTGTTTTAATAAGCAATTCGTTTATAAACAACTGTGCTGAAATTTGACTAAATCTTAAGAAAATTCACTATTGACTTCCACGTGGCTTTAGCAGTTAAAAAAAGGAAAATGTAAATTTAAACAAAAATATTTTATTCTGCCAATTCTATTCGTTTAGTCACATTTCCTATATTTTTTTCTGTTTTATTTTTTTTATCTCTTCCGTCTTTTGTTATTCTTACTTCTAGGAACGCAGGAGAACATTACAATCAGCATTGGAAACGAAAGGAAGCCAGCCTTCATTAGATGGATTTCTGAAAGGGTAAATATTTTCTATTTGTTGTGACATATTTATTTCTTTGTGTCTATAGATCAAATCATATCTCCCGTCTTTATATAGCCGGTATTTCTGGTTACATATAAACGGATTACACATAGACACGTACGTAATATAGAGAGATGTGTGTTAACAGTCGTCTATCACGTAAGATCATGGTAACACCCTGGTTAGAATCACTTCCTCTGAGAGCAACATTAAGAATGACCCTGCAGTCCAATTCTTGAATGACAACCATATCCGTATATAATACATACGTGTTATTTTGCCGTCTTTATGCCTTGTGTCGTCTTTTATCCTCCATCGGATAGATTACTCTTGTCCTCGCTTCAGTTGATGTCTTCTCGAACGGCCTCAAGTTACTCTCAGTTACCCGAATCGATCTCTGTGAATTCCAAGTCACGCTGGCAGAATTCTGAAAGGACCTCAACAATATCACGCATAAAATTAATACCTATTTCCGATATACAATTTAACTACATTCTACTAATTAACCCATATCTTGGGGAGATGTGGTAGATTTATAGCTTTTCTAATGGTATTAGCGCAGTAAGTGAATATAACGAACCCAACAGGAATTTGAATTCGGCTCTCAGATCCATTACAACCCCCGACTATTCAAGCTTACAGTACCTGGTATTCGCGACCGGTTGCCCATCTAGATACTGACAGGGTGGACGTTGCTTAACTTTGGTGATCGTAGGGAAACCGGTGTTTCAACGTAAGCCTTATCTTTGCTTAGATGTGACTTCTTATAAATGTCTTACTTTAGGGATGATATATAATTTTGGTGAGAATTCTTTTGAGGAATGCTAAAGTCTAAAATAAACTTTCGACGTTCATTATTTTATGCATATTTTTAATGAGAATTTAATATATCAATGTAGGTTTATCAACAAGTCTGTAACATAATGATGGAAATTTCGTTTACCTTACATTGTACTTATTTATTTTTCAGTATAATCTCCTTAGTCAATCCACTTAATTCGGTAATGAATTTTAATCACATCAATCTAATATTATACATTTATCTTTACAGATAAAAATTCAGCTAATAACGCCATAAAAGGCTAAATACTTATTGATCAACGTTCCTACATTCTTACGATGACATTTCATTGCAGTTCAATATTTTTAATATCAACTTTTAGCTCAATATAACTTAAACATTATACACTGAAAATTTCAAATCAAATTCCGTTCGAACCTATGGATTACGCTACGAACTTATTAATAACCTCTTGTCTCTCTCTATATATCTGGGTGAAGACATGAAAAATTGTAGTTGGGCCATTAGTGGAAGGTTCAGGCCGAGGAATTTACTATATATATATATATATATATATATATATATATATATATAGAAGTCAAACCTAGAAAGCCGACAAACCTACCAAGGTTTCATCTAAGCGGATGCTTAGGTGAAACCTTGGTAGGTTTGTTCTGGCTTCTAGGTTTGACTAGGTCTGCTCTACTTTTGCATTGACTACTTTTAAGTTAGTTGATTACTCGTATCGGTTTTTTTTTCTTTGGGGTTTGGACCTGTATGTTGTACGATTATTTTCGACAGACGTTCATGTTCATAGGTCTTTTCTTTTTTAAAACCTTTTTTCCTTCGAGATTGATTTGACCATTAGCAAATCAAGAAACCGAAGGTTTTCCGAGACGAGTGTGGTTACCTATATATATATATATATATATATATATATATATATATATATATATATATATATATAGGCAGAATATCTTCATTCAAATATGTTTCATTGAATAATATAGATATATTGTGTCTATTTTTATGTTGATCCTTTTCAGTTGTCTAATTCATCAAGGAAGGCGCCGAAGTTTTTGTTAACGGAAGCACTTTCGATATTTTTCAAGATCATCTTCAGGGGGGAAATTAAAAAGACAAACTTATTGTAACTGTGATAAAATCTGCATTTCGTTGTGATAGTGAATTTTAAAAAAAAACATGCGCGAAGGCGTTCTGTAATTATTTAATTTTTTTATTTTATCCATTGTAGCTATGGAAGTTTTTGAAAAACAAACATTTCATTATGACATAGCTAACCGGGAATTGGTAGAAATGTAAAATGGCATTAAATGTTATATGCATTTTAATATGTTGCTATTATATTCGTAATAAATTTTGCTGGCTGGTTGATTTGGATAAAGAGGACCTCAAGAATATATATATATATATATATATATATATATATATATATATATATATATAATAATAATAATAAATCCCATCAGCAGATTACCTTGAATATCCATTTAGGTGAAACCTAGATAGGTTGTTCATGGCTCGTTAGGATTTATTTTATTTATCCAAGCTCTACTTAGTGTATTGAACCCTCTATGTTTTAGCTTTATTACTCGCTTGGGTTTTTTCTTCAGACTAAAAACTTAAGGCACTGGACGATTTATTTCGCCCTGTTCGGATGTTTCTAGTTCTTTCTTTTTTTTTCCAATTTTTTTCCTCGGGTATCAATTTGTTTTGATAGACTTACAAGTTGTGCTATCCGAGGTTTTTTTACCAACCGAGTATTACTATTAGTGTAATAATAATAATGTTAATAATAATAATAATAATAATAATAATATATATATATATATATATATATATATATATATGAATCATATCCCCAACCAATACAACAAAAAACGCAAGATTAAATCAGACAAATCCTTATCAATAACATAAAACACCATATCACATAAACTCTGAAAGAAAAAATACAAAAGCCAGAAATTAAGCATGAAAAACAGCCCAAAGCCAATAAATTGTTATCAAATTAAGGAACTAACATATTAAATATATAAAAAAAAACACGAATTCTCACGTGAACACGCAAAGAAACGATATTTGAAAAATGATGAACCTGACATAGCACACAAAACCCGCAAATTCTTTAATAATGACTTATGAAACCGGATGTACTCACAGATGGGAATTAATTTGTATTTTGTTTTATTGTCTTATCATTCCTTTGTGGCGTATTGCAAGCCGAATCATATTTTGGATTGTAAGAAAAATTCTTTGTTTACGAGTGAATATTGCATTAACAGTTTTTTTAGTATAACAATGATTTTTTCCAGATAGGATTTCTACTATTTAACGTATAGCTGGGAAGGGGGAAAGCAAAGATAGAGTAATAACTCACTAAAGGTTAATTGCGAACCTGACAGTAATTTGAACTTGGCTTTCCAATTTCTTATTCCAAGCCGATATCCATTACACCACCCGCACATCCATTCAGACATGGGACAGTTTATATTTAAATTTTCACCGGAAACTAGAGAAATGATCCGAGATATATAAAAGATAAGTTAAAAATATCCATAGCAAATAATTTTTGTTGCTTTCAAGATTTCAAGATAACGAGGAAATACAAGAGAATCCGATGAGGCAGCTGCTCCCTATATCAAATGGAATGCTTCCATCAATGGAAATGACGCTGGCATAAAGTTTGTGACTTCAGAAAGAAGACTACTTCGAAGGAGGTTAAATGACAAATTGATATGTGTTGTAGTTTATTTTTATAGCACCAGTCAAACTCAAATGACATTACAGAAGGAGAACTGTAAAGACTTCATATATATCGCTTCCAGCACTTTCAAATTGAAATCTGAATGCCCCTAACTCCAAACCTAGAACATATTTTGATATAGGACGAGACACATTTGCTGCAGCCATCGGAGATCCAGATATATTGACTGATTTATGCACATTATCAAGTAGCCCTATTCGAATTTTGGCCGGTACACACTGACCTATTTTTACTCTCAATCTTTGACTGGTTCTAGGCAGTGTCACACTGACATTTAAAACAATAAATAGGTAAACTAATCTGGTAAGGTGACAGAACATCTTTACGAATTGTTCGAAACATCGTTTGCGCTGGGCTTGTTTATTTTTTTATGCAAATCAATTTTAGACGTAACCGCCCCCAGTAGCAGTTTTTCTTCGTATATTTATGTTTACTTATGATTTTATATTTTTGCCCAAACAGGAACTTTCGATAACAGGTACCTGGTTAGCGCCTGAAAAGCGTGCGTCCAGACATTTAGTACGAGGTAGATTTTCAGTTGTTATCATCACCCAGACATTGGGAACAATTACTGGCAAAATTCTACCGCGAATGGTTTGTGGAAGTAAGTACATTCAAGAATTTTTCCGAATTTTTTTTTATTTCTCTTTAAATACTGAAAATTAGGTATATACCAGCCATCTATTCCTCAATAATTAATTGAACAACCAAAAGTTTTTGCTCATTTATAAATGTCGAATTCTTCTTTTATGTGTCATATCCAATCAGGACATGGGCGATGAAGACTCTTCGCAACTTATTCTTTGCAATATATGTTCTTCTTACTATCTCTCCCAGTTCCCGTTCTGTCATCAATTTACACAAGCTTGTTATGTAGGTTACTTGATGTTACCCTCTCGCCTTCAGTATGTCATGTGAGTGTCAAATTCTCCAATCCCTATTTCCACATTGTGAATCTCTGAAATTGTAACCGTTTCTTTCCTGATTCTAAGTATGCGTGTCCTTTTTGTCCCCATTTTCTTTAAATATTCCTCGTTGCTTATCTATTCCGTCCATGTTATTCCCGACGGAGTCAAGCGAGCAAGTAAACAATGATGATTTTCCGTTTTATAATTTCAAAGTAACCACGTCCAAATTATTTTCATAAATTAATACAAATATTTTTATTACAAAGGAATCTCATGTCTCACATGTCGATCAAAACGGTTTTCGAACAGAAAATTCGAGATGAAAATGCCTCGGTTATCGAACAAAATTTCGGTTCTCGAACAAGATAGCGGAACCGAGTTAACACGACCGGAATAATTTTTGAGTCGACCACCGTGTTGTATACATTCGTGTGTTGTGACGTGCTTTTATCCAATTTTATTGTACTGTGACTTTTTTTCTCTACATTGACTCCTATTGGAAAAATAGTTTCGGTTTACGAACATTTCGGGTTACGAACTACCTTCAGGAACGAATTAAATCCGTGATCCGAGGTTTCACTGTACTATGTTTATGTTCTATAGTATACCTTACGGTTACATCACGTTGAAACACTGGTTCTCGGACGATCAGCGAGGTTAAGCAACGTCGAGCCTGTTCAGTACTTAGATGGGTGACCGCTTGGGAGTGCAAAGTGCTGCAAGCTTGGATATTCGGGTGGTGTAATGGATAACGGCTCTGTATTGGAAATCTGAGTGCCGATTTCTAATTCCACTCGGGTTCGTTATATTCTCTTACAAACAAATACTATTGGGGAATGTATGAATCCATCTCTTTTCATCCCGGCTATGGGTTAATTAGTAGGTATTATATCAGTAAATAATTATTATCTCCCCTCAAATTATTTCAATCTAAAAATATTTTTTAGCTTTAAATAATCTGCAAAAGATGGATAAGCCGTAAAAAAGAAAAGAAAAACAAATCCCTCAACCTTTCTATAATATACATAGTCACACACACACACGCACACACACACACATATATATATGTATATATTCATTATCAACATCAAGAGTCTCGAAGAAATTTAATTTTTTTATAATGAAAATTGACTTTTCGTTATTTTTTATATAAAATATCTATGAGGTTTAGTTCACCAATCTAAACATGAATAGGAATACAGTAGATACATACGACCTCACAATGTTGATTTAAAACGTGAGGATTCGCTTAATGATTATCAGGACTTGAAAATAAAATCAGCACACTGAGTTCGAATTCTGAATGTGAATAGTTTGTATTCACTATGCACTGAAGAAAGTCATAAATGCAATTCTGGCGAGGTTTCTCTACGGATTAATATCCTTTCTCTTCGCGCTATTTCCCCAACTTCGCACAATCTTTGCTATATTAAACGCACCTGAACATCTGTCATTGGCTTGAGGAAGCAAAATTGTCACTGGATAAAGATCATCAGAAAAGTCAGGGTTATTATTAGCTAGCCTTGCTAAATGATCAAACCAGCCCACTCTATCAATCGGCGTCACCCCACCCCATATTGACTAGTCAGAGTTTGCAATCGTATCAGAACAAATGTAAAAATAAATTTAGAATAAATATAGGCAGTCTTTACTATTAGAAAAAAACGATTTGATCCTCTAATTCTTATAATTTTTGACTTCTAATTTTTTTCAGAAAATTTACGTATTTTTCATAAGTAGTAGGTTTTGAATTTGTTCTTTACCCGTTGTTTTCCTTGTGAATCTAAAATAATGTTTATACTTATATATTTTTTAGCTTTTCAGGCTGTTTTGTCTGGTGACATTATTCCGTTTTACAAGAAATACCGAACTGGCATTGGGTCTGCAAGTTTCCAACTTCAGCAAAATGGCAACATTATTTACAAGGTTTGTATACAGCAATTGCATTGGCTTTTCCTTTTTTTTTTTTTTTTAATCATTCCGGCCCAAGCAAGTCAATAAAGTCACAACTGAGTGTGAGAGAATATGAGAAAAAGAAGACATCAATAAGAAGAGAGATCAATAAAAGAACAAGAATTAAGAAGTCAGAAGATAACGATTGACATTACATTTAAATTTTTGGAGATCAAACTTGACTGGAATGCAAGAGGCCAGAAGAAATTTCAACAAACGAGGAGTACGACTGAAGAAACTCTTAGCACAGGAATTAGCGTTACATCTTGTCATTTCAACTGTATGATGATGAGACCTTGCCGCCAATCCAGTACTGCGCTTAAATCCATACAGTCTAGTTATCAAAGAGAAAAATTCATCTGAACAATTACCATGAAAGTATTTATAGAAAAGGCACAGAAACGTATATTACGGTGGTGAGAAAGTGACTGAAAACGAAATCACAAATTAACAAAAGCCGTTTGTTCATCGTCATCTAATTGAAAAAGTTTACTTATGAACCAAAATATGAATAGTTATTTCTTGTATGATGGTAAAATAAACTTTCAAAATACAGTGGAACCTCGGTTCATGAATTTAATTCGTTCCTGAAGACCGTTCGTAACCCGAAATGTTCGTAAACCGAAACTATTTTTCCAATAGGAGTCAATGTAGAGAGAAAAAGTCACAGTACAATAAAATTGGAAAAGAAAAGCATGGCACAACACACGAATGTATATAACACAGCGGTTGACTCAGGAATTATTCCGTTCGAGTTAACATGGTTCGGCTATGTTGTTTGAGAACCGAAATTTTGTTCGATAACTGAGGCATTTTCATCTCGAATTTTCCGATTAAAAACAGAAAGGAATTATCAATGTATGTGTCAGTTGTTATAAAAGTTCCTAAAAGATTTGTAAATTTATTTACATTATTTCTTAAAGACTTCTTACGTGCTCCGTCAAAGAAGGAAAATACAAACATAAAGGCCACTTTCTATACCTAGAATCAGAAAGAGAAAATTGAAATTTCTTGGACATATTATGTGAAAAGAGGGTTTGTAGGGTGTATCAATGTCAAGTGGGACAAGAAAAGGCATCGGGCCCCCATCTGACTATCTTGTGAGAATGGATGGCGGAACAGGCGGCGGGATACGTCGCAAACGGATAACCGTTGCTAAAGGCTGCAAGGGATATTGTGGGGAGCCATGATCGTCCACATCCTGAAGTGACACGGTACAGAGAAGAAGTTTACATTATTTACATTAGTTGCATCCTTTGACCTACTAGAGGTGTCTTTTGATCCAGCTAAACTTCAGAGGATTTTGAACAGAACCATTGAAAACTTTGGAATTTTGTGCAGCTCTTCTGGAAGTTTTTTTTGTTTATTTTGGTGAATGGTGCTATAATCCATGCCTTCAGACAATCTTTGGTGTTACAAGGAGTTTTTTTGGTCTCTCGTTCAACTGGGCCCCACACATGATAATCAAGGGGATAAAAATGACCTGATGTAAAGGGTGATGTGATGTGACAGCCATGACTGGATTCTCCTACTTGCGTGGTATGGTGCAGAGTCCTGTTGCCAGGCATAGGGTTTCCCAGTAGCCACCCTCTTGACCCAGGTTAGCACAACCTCCTCAAGTACTTGATATAGGCCTCCGTGTTGAGTCTGAGTCCCTGTGGGAAGTTGAACGGAGACATAACGTCGCTATCACTAATGATCACTTCAGACACCTCGGTAATCATGATTTGACTCTTTCAAACCCTCTGCACGGTTCTCAGATTGACACCCAAACACTTTGAAATGTTCGTATTGGAGCTTCCGCCGCGAATACCAAGCAATACAGTATGTCGTTTCCTAATTTTTGGCGGAGTGAATTGCGTCATAGTGCTGTTTTCCTCACAGATAGTGCCCAACTGACTCTGTTATACTGTTCAATCAACAAAATCAAAAACAAACAACGCACATGCGCGAAAATATAAAATGGCGACAATTTACCCATCGCACTCCGTATGTAAGTGTCTGTGTGTGCGCGCGAGTGTGTATAAATATGAATATTATATATACACATGTTATAATGTAACAGCATTCTAGCTTTAGGTATATGGACACATATTCTCTGTATTTAGAGATTTTTGTGGACTGTATCCAACATATTTTTAGTTCAAGGGTTACATTATTTTAATTAAGGAAGGCAAATTTTAGCTTGAAAATGAGTCAAAGAAAAAAGTTCATTTGTATGATTTCCACATGACGTAGTCTTGATTTATAAAATAAATGCTGTGCAGTAAAATGAAACTTTGGATGAAATAATTAGTCTGTTAAGGGGTTAATAATGAAAATTGATCTCAGTACACCCTCCAGAAATATTTATTTTTTAGTGCCAAAAATGACGAAAAATAAGCTGGGAATTGATGAAGTAACGCTAAATTCAACGGACAATCATAAGAAAAACAGAAACAGTTTTTATATATAGCGACGTTAGGTTCAATCTGCAAGAAAATACAATCATGGTTATTGATTCATTTTCCAAAATTTGTCGTGTCACAATTTCTGTAATGATTAGAGGGAATAAAGGTTTTGAGGTATTTGTCTAATAAATTTCTACCCGTGATATGACGAACTGCGTAAATACCCAGTAATAAATATCGCTGTGTACCGCTGATATAAACATTATTATTTAGTAATACTAACTTTTTATTACTTTCAATATGGCTGTACAGTGAACTTACTATTAAACGGATACAGGCATATCATATTTCGAATTTAAAAAGCATCATCATAGGGCTGAGATTGGGTCTTGGCTAAGCGGAAAAATGATGTTCGAGATTTTCGATAATAATAAACATTTTTCATTATGCCTAAAATAAATCCTACTTCTGAAAACACGCGTTTCCATGATAGATTTTTAGATATGATTTGGAGTCAACGCCCTCACAAAAGTGGAAAATCATTGAACTGCACGGTCAAAAAAGGTGAGTAAATATTACGTATACTTTATTATAATTTAATAAACTTATATTGTACAGTTTTGTATATATTATATTTTATATTTTTTATTAAAAAAAATACCAAAGCGACATTTGTATTTAACAAACTTTCGGCGCTTACTACTTATATACTTACTATAACTTAGATACTCGTTATATCAATGATTTAATTTCGTCAGTAAATAAACATTTTGATAAATATTCAATAAACTGTAGACAAAGTTCAATTGAAATATATTGAAGAATTTTGAAAAAACTGTATACAGTATACCCCTTATCTACAGGAAATATGTTTCTTGATTTCCAGCGTTTGCCTTTATATTAATTTATTATAGCTTAGATGTGGCACAAGGCTGAATGTAAGGGCACTCGGTGAGAATCGAACTCACTGCCTAGACGAAATTGTTCTAGAGAGACAAATTTGCAAACCATTACACCACCTCGAGGTGCTCCAACTGTTTGCCTGTATATACTGTTTTCCCAATACTTGTACACCTATGATAAATTTATAAATTAACCGCTGTAAGAGATTAGAAACAATAAATAATGCTTAAACCCCCCCCAAAAAAAAAAACCAAGAGGATATACTATAATGATAATTATATGTCGTATGAAACATTTATTGATATTGTAAATCTTAGCGACGTAAGTATAGGGCCTTTTCTTTCTTCCTTTTGTCCAGAACGTTCACCTTTATATTTAGGAGTACGTGCTGAAACTGCGTACTCTACTTCCCGAAATTTAACCAAGAACCAATCATCAGAATTTCTTTCTTGATTGTGCCGTGAACTTTTCAGCATCCCATGCTAAATGAAGCACTTTCTGACTTCTCATTGGCATATTCAAATTGCCAGCATCATTAATCTTTAATTTTGGGATCATTATTAAGATATATGAATGATTGATTTCTAGACTTGTTCGCAGGTAAAATATCACATTGAAACGCAGGTTCTCGTACGATCATCGAAGTTAAGCGACGTCGAACCTGGTCAGTAACTAGATTGGTGACTGCTTGGGAATATCAGGTGCTGTAAGCTTGGATGTGCGTGTATTATAATGAATAACGACTCGGAGTTGGAAATCGGAATTCAAGCCGAGATCGTTATATTCACTTACGCCGAAATACTCTTGAATCCATTTCTTCTCTCCCCAGCTATTGGTTAAATAGTAGGACTTGTAAATCCTTATTATCTCTAAAACAATGAAAAGAAAAATATTACAATCTAAAAATATGTTTTAGCTTTAGATAACATGCAAAAGGTTGATAAACCGTAAAAAGTAAATCAGTCAATTATTCGCGGGTAAATGAAAACACGGATAAAGATGTCCACTGTTCTGGCTCATTTGCGTAATCACAGGTATTAATGTTATGAAAGTAGAATTTAACAAAATGAAAAATAACTTTTATTAATATACATAGATTAAATGTAGAGTTTTTGTTTTTATGTTTTCAGATTGGACTCAGTCGATTAGACAGTCCCTTACGCCAAGTGATCGTTGAACGCAACTTGATTTCAGGAAGTAGTGGTTCCGGAAGTAACATGTGGCGCCGCCGGAAACGTAACAACGGAAACTTAACGAAACAGTATCGAGTCGGAGATATTGGTTACGGTGGGTGGGTAAGTTGGATAAGACGGAGATATTATAACGACTATAATCTCAATCTTGTTTCTACATGTCATACCTTAATTATTAATTTCAAATTGCTACGCATCTCTTTTTTTGGTACACTTTCCCAACAATTTCATTTTCCCATGACCATAAGTGTGACAATTGTAAGCGGGCAGATTCCGCTAATGCGTCTTGAGTTGATTATCTTTTCTATTTAGCATTTTCATGGATGTCTAGCCCCATGAGATTTCAACTCTGTAACAACACCCCCATCATCGCACTAAAGAATGTGGCTGGTGGATAGCAATTCCATCGTTACAGTGGACGCGGGGACCGGTCAATCAATCTTTGTCCTTGGCCCATATGTATACCAATGAGCAACCCACATTAAAAACGACCTTGTGTTACATCCTGTCACGGAGTTGGGATGTGGCACAGGATAAAAGCATATTAACTGTTCTCCTCTGTCATGTTTTTTCCTTCGAGTAGTTCATGAAATAGCTATGAGCTCTGCCTAATCCAGGAGCTTCTAAACTTGCGGCAGTACCTCCCTCATTGTACTGCGATCCTCGAGTGGCATCGAGTGGCAGGCGACTGGCGGACCTCTAGCGGTCTGCCAGTGGTAACACTGCCGAGACGAACACGCCGGCGGTCCGACAGTGAGCCACCAGCGATAAACGCTAGTGGTATGTCACCCAGCGGCAGATTGGTGGCTTGCGTGTAGGAAGGCATGTTTATTAATTTTAAGAAGACAGAATATATGGTCGTAAGCAAAATGGGCAGCCCAAGATGCGAGTTACTAATTGGTGACGTCAAATTCAAGCAAGTACAGAAATTTAACTATTTAGAAACTGTTATAATAGACAACAGAAAATGTGACAGCCAAATCCAAAGGCAAATAGGATTAGCGAAAGATGCCTTCTAAAAGCTAAAGAAAGTATTAAGAAACAGGGAAATGTCGTTAGACACACTAAAAAGTGTACTGAACTGCTATGTAATATTAATCCTTCTATATGGAAGGTTTCCTCGCAGATGAAGAGAAGACTTGAGGTAACAGAGATGCTGAAGAATGCTGAGAATACCAATTATGCATAAAATCAGAAAACGATAGATGAAATAGATGCATAATGAGAACAATTAGGCCTGGAAAATTTGACACTCACAAGACATATTGAACGCATGAAGGGCAGGGGTAAGTGGCGAGTAACCATCCTCATGAACTCGTGTGAAAGAATGCCAGAACAGCGAAACTGGGGGATCGTTAATAGACAAAGATTGCTAAGGGATATGAAGTTGTGGAAAGCCATAATCGCCAACGTGCTGAAGGGTCAAGGCATATAGAGGAAGAATAAAAACAGTAAATAATATTTGGCGTCTGTTTATATACAACCAAATGAAAGAAAAAAAATGACTAGTTGCGTGTATTTATTATTAAACAACATATATACATACGCAGGCAAAAATACACATAATTCTGATTTAAAATATTTCGGTTAGAATGTTAAATATTTGAAATAACGATTTGTCTTTTTCCGAAAGCGCATATCGAGTGCATAAAATAAATTGATAATATTATGTACCGTGTCACATCTGTCAGTAACATGATCACCTCTCATTATAAAAAATGATCTTAACTGCAATGATTTTAATTCAGGCAAATGGCACATACAAGAAACCAAAGGTGACTGATCTCAACCGTCTCATAAATGGGGAACTGTACGTGAAAGTATCAACGGAGAAACGGCGACGAATGGCGCTGCTCGGTCAGATTGTCGAAGTACCATACCATGAACAATGCAACACCTTTACAGGTAAGACCAATGATTGGTATCGTCAAATCACATGATCTCGAACTCTTTTGTTAGAAAACGTATTTTTAAAGCAAGAAATTATTTCTGTGTGGCTTACAGTTACATCACATTTGAAACACTGGTTCCTGAAGTTAAGCAACGTCGTGTTTGGTCAGTACCTAGATGAATGAATGATTGGGAATACCAGGTGTTGTAAGCTTAGATGTGCGGGTGGTGTAATGGATAATGGCTCGGATTTGTTAATCGGATAGGCAAGTAACAATTCCTGTTGGCTTCGTTATATTCATTTACGGTCAAATACCCTTGGGAAGGTATGAATTCATCTCTTCCCTCTCCAACTATGGGTTAATTAGTTTAACTTTTATCACTGAACCATTATTATTTTCCCCCCACTTAAAGTTTTGTAATCTAAAACTATTTTCTGGCTTTAAGTAAGCTGAAATAGTTTAATAATCCATAGAAAAAGAATAAAATATATTTCAATGTCTATTATGACGCGAGTAATTATTTTTCCGTAATCGTTCCTAAAAATCATGTAATGAAGATCGTATTGAACGGGCGCGTTTCCAGATCATTTCATACTAACGCGGGTGTCATTCGGGGCTCTATCTTTGGACCAACAGTGTTTCAGATCTTCATCAATGACTCCCCCGATGTCATCAGTCCCCAGCTAGGTATTTACGCAGATGATACAACTATTTACTCCTGTCTTACTACCAAATCGGACAGAACCGACAAAATATCCCTGGCAATTGCTCTCGAAGAAAACCTCTAATCATTGGTTAACTGCAGCAAGAAATAGCTTGTAAATTTTAATGCCTTCAAAACAAAACTGATTTCATTTTATCACCACAGATAAACTTTCTTGTCTGACAGCAGCATGGCTGATACTAAACCCCAGGAAAGCAACCCTCTACGCCGTCTTGGGCTCACCTTTTCCACTGAAGTCGAGTGACTAACGTGAATTAATTGCTATGTCTGCTACTAGGAAAATTGGTTCACTGTATCGTGGCAGAAATATTTTCTCGTCAGAATCCATCTTGGACGTCCATAAATCTACCATTCGTCCGTGCATTGAATATTGCAGTCATATCTAGTCTTGTGCTGCTGCTGTATATGTCGAAATTCTTGACAAAATTCAAGCGACAGTCTATAATGTAATCGACCTTGATCTGGGATCTCGTCTTCAGTAGGTTTCTTACCGATGTGACATGGCTTCCGTCTGTACTTTTTATAAATATTTTCATGTCAACTGTTCTGACCAGCTTTTTTCTCTAGTGCTTCGACTAAATGAATTTAAGCGTTCTATTAATTTGGCAACTAGGTTTCACTGTTTAACTGTTGAACTCACTAGATGCAACAGCCACTACTATTCTAAGAATTCCTTTTCTCGTTTCTGGAACTCCCTTCCGATTTCTTGCTTCCCTGCCAACTACAATCTTCAAAAATGTAAATGCAACGCCATCGCCATCGCCATCTGTATGCCTGAACCTCACTAAAGTCTTTTCATTCTCTTTCACTCCCTGTTACCGGCTGCGTCTTAGTGGCATTATCGCCTTGCTTAGGAGTTAAATAATGTAAAAAAGTTTACCATCCTGTTGAGTTAGATAGACTTTTCGTTTTATGTTCATTCTAAAACCACTTGTGCGATCGCTAACCAAATATTGGGTGAGGACAAAAGTTGGTAGACAGAACATTCTATCTTCCAGATCAAAATGTCCACTTTTGAAGCCAGCGAACAGTTCTCTCATGTGTGGCACCTTCCCCATAAACGGCACATGTTTTTTTAGCTGTTTTACAGCGCTTTTTTCCTTTCCGGAAGTAAATGACGAAAATGCGTATACTTTCAGTTTTAACTGAAAAAAATGTTGACACGAATCGTATTGGAAGATGCGTTGAAATGTCACCTTTCAGAATATGTAAATATCTCATAAACTTCGGATATGTGTGAAACGAAATCAAGTGTTCAAATGCCGATAAACAATACGAACATTTATTCGGGCCCAATAATTTTAATATTCATTTCAGTTAACTTCGAGACTTACAAGCAGCATTCAAAAACTTCGTGGACAAAGCATGTTATAAGAAAACTATGAAAATATATTGATATTTATTTGCAGCAAAGTAAATTTGGACTTACATGTTATAGCCTGCATGAATCGGAAGTGTTTTCATTTAAATTTACGCCAGTTAAAAAAAAACTCTCTTTAGAGTAGCAAGAATCCTGTCAAAATTGAAACAACAACAACAAATTTATGATAAAACTTGGTTGGAAAACTGAGGACATTATTGGTGCTTTGGGAGAAGTTTATGGGGATAATTCTCCTAAAATAGCAGCAAATGGATGACTCGATTCGAAGAAGAACAAGATTTAGCTGAAAATGACGAACGTATCGGCAGACAATCAACATTAGTTTGTGAGGGAAGAGTCGATGCTGTTTGAGATTTAATAGTGGGCAACCGACAATAAAGAACAGAAATAATACTCTATACCCTAGATATCTCAGGCTACGGTGTTGTCTGTTACTGATATAAGCTCAACAATTTTGGTACCCATCGAGCAGAATGTTTTCTCAACTTTCGTTTCAAGGACTGAAGCTTTCAATGGAAATTTTAATGAAATGTGATCGAAGTCCTGAAGACTTTCCGAGGTGAATTGTAACGTGAGATTAACGTGAGACAAAGGAACTGAAATCCAGTCAGGAGGAAAGTTTATTGCGAGAGTTTTCTCAGATGCTGAGAGTATTTTGCAAGTTGACCTTATAGAAGAGGAAAAACTATAATATCTGCTTATTATGAAAGTATTTTGAGAATATTCGCTAACAGTTTTATGAAAAAAGACAACGTGTAAAGCTTCTTCAGAGAATCCTTCTCCATCGCGAGAATGACACTGTTAATTCCATTCATTAAATAAAAGGAACATTGCGAGAATTAAAATGAGAAATCAGCTTAAATCCTTGATTTAACACGTGAATTTTTTTATATTGGTAACATTCAAAAAAATTTGACTTACCCATTTCGAAACTCTTAATGGCGTAAAAAGGCTACTTTGATATGATTAATTACTCAGATTGGTATAAATGGCCGGTATCATAGCTTACAGAAGTACCTTGATGTTGATGAAATTTATGTGGATAAATAATGCTTATACTTAAAACGGTTTACTTTTAACTTCATATTTTTATGGACTTTTTGAATGTTCCTCATAACAAGTTATCTTGGTTTCTGTGAAAAGGTTAGTGCTTACACACACACGCACGCACACACACGCACGCATACACGCACACGCTCACACATACTCACATATATATTATGAAATGGATTAATTCTGACAATTATTTAATACATTTTGTTTATACGTTATCTATTAATAATAAACAGAATTCATATATATATATATATATATATATATATATATATATATATATATATATACACATATATATATATATATATTATGTACCGACATTAAAATTACGATACCAAAGTTTTAAATTAATTTAAAAAAAAATGAAAAAGCTTTCATTTTAGCTTTCATTTTAGACCCAGTGTATTTCAAACAGAAATTATATTGATTGGAATCCATTTTCTTTTTTTTCAGTAACATCGTCAAAGTCGTCCATTTTTGAGATTTTTGTAAAGAAAAGTTAGTTATTAGTTTTAAAAATCTTACAAAAATAAAATATAATTTTCTAAAACTTTATTTGAGAAATATTATCTGATGTAAAGTATAATTAATCTGATTTTCAACAAATATTGTTTACTTAAAATAATTTTTTAAACAACCAAAAATTCATGATTTACATTGGTCAAGGAAAACTAAACTAACTAAAAATTAAAATTAAACTAATTAAATTAAAATTAACTAAAAATTTTCTGATCAAGATCCAAAATTTTCATTCATTTGTGAATAAGTTCTGAAAATCTTATTAAAATCTGACAATTATTTGATTTTTGCAAGAATTTTCCAATCAATGTGTATTTTACCGGAAAAAGGCGCTAAAATTCCCATGGTAATCTTTGGCACATCGACTGACGAAAAAAAAAAACAAACAAACAAAATTTTTAATCAAGATTTCGGACAGGCTAGAATGGATTAAAAAAAAATGAATAAAATAGAGTAGCGTAACTGTTATCGTCACTGAAAGTGGAATCAGCGAGCCGAGTTCAAGTTTAAGTCTAGTCTGCTGTTTTCAATTTCACGCTAATCTCCCTCGAAAAAGCATGAATCCATCTCTTCTCCTTCTACCAGCTATTTTCGGTTAAGTAGCGGGTAGATTATGTTCTATAGCATTGGGTGGTAGTCAGTCTAGTTGAAGGACTCATTTGAATTCAAATCTGTGGAGAAGACAGTGGCATAACACTCCACTATGTTTCCCAAGACTTCATAATAATTAAAAAGGAAGCTGTGGAGATCCACATTCGTCTACGTCTTGAATGTAGATGACATTAAAAAATTACATTCCTTTACTTAACCGATAAGAGCCAAATGACGCTTCGACTTTTCTTCTTGTGACAATACTGAGATTGTCATTTGATTCTCTAGTGTTGCCTTCTTTTGTACCTACTGCTTTTATTCCCTTCAATTTAGTGAACACATAATGGTCGTTCTTTTAAGAAATCTGTAGATTTAACAGGCACCTGGCTTAAAAGGACCGTTAACGGAATCTGGAAAACAATTGGTATAGTTAGTTCAGACCAGTGATCTTGTACGTACAACTAAATGTAAAGACTATTGATAAAGCAATACATTTGGTATTAGTTAATGAACATAGTCACTTAATGCTATTTAACAATGAAAAGAGAAGGAATATTTTTGATCGAACATAATATTTTTCTTTTCAGGAACACCTTTGGTTCTTCTTCCACCAAATCCTAACCCACTGAAATATCCTGTGAAGGCATATGCATGGCTGATCATGGGCGTCGGTTGTCAACTTCATTACCAGATAATGATCCAAGGTCGAACGACCACCTTGAGCGAGCCTCTCAACGCCTACCTAACCAACTCCGACGGACATATTAATTCACCCCACACATCTGAGAACACGAGTATCATGGGAAACTTTTACGACAATGTAGTGAGTAGAAATCAAACATTTTATTATCTCGTCATTTATTTTGCAAGGTATGATTATAGGGCCGTTTCAATTGGGTTTCGATTTCCGAAGATCTGTATTGTCTCTCTTCCTCTGTATCGATCTCTACATTTGAAAAATCTATTAAATTTTCAAAATATTTGTAGCACGAATGGCATTATTTATATTGAGTGGATATCATATAATTTTAAAGTCTGGTTGTTAAACATTTGATAGAAAATCTTTCTAATTTATAACAGACCAACACATATCTATTTGATTTTATTAAATTTTTCTAGGTATCTGGCACGCTTACGGCAATTTCTCAACATCTGTTCAAAGCTTTGGATAATGGCAACGCAACATTACGAATCATCAATAGAAGGTACCCATCAGGAATTCTGGAAGTCAAGGTAACTAAAAAATGTTTTTGCATGTTATTGCTTTGATGCTCCTGAAAATATTGACGGCTTTCGTCTTAATCATCGTTTTACATACATGTGTTGTTACCGGATTTCAAAAACTGTATGAAACAAATTCTGAGGTAGGAAGAAAGTGGGAAACAGGAAAGATCAGATTTAACTTAACGCTGAGAAAATGTAGTTGTTAAAGTTACCAGGTCAAAGGTTAGAAAAAACTGTTAAAAGTTTAACAATGTACAAAAGCAGGAAAAAGAGCGCGCACACACACACACACACACACACACACACACACACAACGAGATAGTCATTGTGCTGCAAGAACAATTAACATATATATATACATATACACATAATGATAGCTGGCCACTCATATTTGAAGATACCCGTCTATTAGGGCGGCTAGCCAATCCCTATTGCAGACGCTCGCTCAGGCATATTTGTGTTTGTTCAACACCCACAGAGCCAACCTGTGGTTTATACTGCAACTACCATGAGCAGATTTTAGTTACATTTTCTAGGAGAGAGTCTGTTATCTAGCGTGATCAGCAATCTGAACAAGGCCAGCACACTCAAACTCTCGGTCAAGATGACTTGTGACTTCGTGCTAGATAGCTATCGACGGCCCCCAAGTGTCCCGTCTACCCAATTTCACTCACAAGGCTTGGATCAACCCGTGGTATGGTTTTCAGAAGCACACACACACACACACACACACACACACACACACACACACACATATATATATATATATATATATATATATATATATATATTAATCAATCATTTCCGCCAAGTAATCCAATAAAGATACTAAGAAGAAAAGAGTTAATGATTGTGAGAGAATATGAGAGAAAAAAAAACATTATTAAGGAGTGGGAACAATAGAAAGATGGTAATTAAGAAGACAGAAGATAACAATTGACGTTGTATTTAAATTCTTGAAAATGAAATCTGGATGTTAAGCAAGAAGTCGGAAGGGAGTTCCACAATCGAGGAGTGCGAGAGGTGAGACTTTTAGCATAGAACTTATGGTTACATCAAAAAATAATGAGACCTTGCAGCCAATCTAGTACTGCGCTTAAATTCGTAAAGCCGAGGTACCAAATAGGAAAGTTCATCAAAATAACTGTCATGAAAATATTCACAAACGTTGACCTTCGTGCCCGCAAAAAAATCAAAACCAAAAGGAATGTATAAATTCAATTTCATCATATGTTTAGGTGTTATTACAATTCTAATCATTGCCTTTTAAAACAATAAACATTACCGACAATTGAAGGTAGTTTAAATAATAGCGGTGTCAATGGAAAGGCCGTATTTTTGACACTCCATTTTTTCCTTTTGATGCCAAGTTTACCAAAATATTTATAGAACAGGCACAGGGAAGCTACGTCACACTGGTCTGAAAGTGACTGAATGTCTTAGCACTTCGTCAACTATGCTATCAAGAATTAATATTTTCAAATGCCCTCTATGAAAATGGAAGTTATTAGCCTCTGCTTTGTAGTTAAGATTGTTGTGAATTTATTACCAGTGTGACAAATCAAAGTTCGTGCTCTAATTTTAAGTGCCAAATTTCAAGATAGGGAGACCCTCTCCGAATTGAATATCTGGCGCAAAACAAAGGCGTAATTATCAATAATTTCAAGCGCTTCATATTAAAAAAATCAACAACAAACGAAAAAAAAAAAAAAAAACCCAAAAAACCCCCAAAACAACGGATAAACGAGGATCGATCTTATTTGATGCCAGTTCAGGTGTTATATGCGATGTTGACTTATGGTTTACGCAAAGAAATACCCAAATTACTTGTATTGTACCCAGCTTGACACCATAATACTGTAATATTAATTGTAAATGATATATGTATACCATTAAATCATAACCTGTTCAAGTCTCGGAATAACAGTTATCTTTCGGTCATATCCGTATAAACTGCCTCCTCTCTATTTCGAGTGGTCCTCGCGATTTCTACAGGGTGGACATTACTGTAAAACAAATAAAAAAAAATTAAATACAATAAAAATTCTTTCATGAATCTTAAGTTAAAAAATTACATTTCTGGTCGTTTTATCTTATTGTTGTGACTTGTTCATTTTGAGAATAACCTTAAAGAATTACCCCAACATTTGCAATTTCTTTAATAATCGTAATGCTAAATGCCGTGTATGATATGAATAGAATAGTAGGGGTTAGAAATTATCATTATTAGGTTATGGAAGAAAGATTATTTACTGAGCTTTGATTTGAAGAGGTCAACATTGAAGTGTTCAGAAGGGAAGCAAATAGGCAGGAATCTGTTCCAAAAAGTGTTAGTCCTTGGAAAGGGATTAACTGGAACTTGTTAGATTCGAAACATAGAGAAAACGGGGATGATTCGTCTTCGTAGATGCAGCATGGCGTGTGCTAGCTGTAAACGCCTGAACCTTTAAAACTAAAGAATGAAGCTCATTTGAACATTTGCCGCGGAAATAGCGAGAGAGAAACGACAGGCTTGCAACGTCGCGTCCGCACGAAAGTGATTGTGGAAAATAAATTATCATCAAACGATTTTGAACTCTTTCAAGGTTGGTAAGTGAGAACTGAACAATTCCATCTCAGATATGGCAGCAATAATCTATTTTATTTATCGAATAATGCAAACGAAATATTTTAATGATGCGCTTAATGATGATCATTTTTATCTCGAAAGAAATCATTTACTTTTTCTTGATAAAGGTGGCTGTTCCCAATAACTGTTGGAAACTCTCCCAAGATGTCAATGGAATTGACAGTTTCTTGGTCGGCACTTCGGATAAAGATGATCGGCAGCGTTCCAAGTGCAAATTCGAGAATCGGTGGCATGAGGAAGGCGAAACATGGGTACCCAGCGAACAAGAACTGTGCAAAACTTGCAGTTGCGTAGTAAGTATATTTTCCATAGTAATATCAAGTGTATTTAATTGGAGAGAAGTTATATACGAAATTAAGGTCAGTAAATATGACGAGAATTGGTATGATTAACTTTTAATTTTTTTCAAGGCTATGTTATTTGCATTTCATTTCATTTTTCGTTAAATTATATATATATATATATATATATATATATATATTATAGATTAATAATTAGGGGATTTGTATAATTTCATAATAAATTCATCATGTCTCGAACCGGAATCCTCAACGCACACACAAGGAGAAAAGCGCTGGACGGCCGTTTCGTCCTTATTTGGGACTACTCTGTAGTGCTCATCCTCTACTGACTCTGAGAATCGAACCCGAACCGCTCTGATACGATGCAAGCATCATACCATTGGGCCAACGGCTACGATGACGAGGAGGAAACTATGATGAATTATTATGAAATTATACAAATTCACTAATTATTAATCTATAATATAAGGTATGCTGGATCTATCTTCCAATGCTCTGGATAGAGCAGCTCGGTGAAAGAAGTCGCTGCTCTTGGAGGCCAGTCCTGTTGTGTTATGAATGCTTGGAGATTTGACACCACCAAGAAGGGTGAGCTCTGCTATATAATGTCTAGTAAATTAGATTCTATTTTTGCCACCGTAGTCTGTTGGCCCAACGGTATGTTGCTTACATCGTATCGAAGGGCCGGGTTCGACTCTCAGAGTCGGTAGAAGATGCGCACGAAGCGGCCGTCCAGGGCTTTTCTGCTTCTGTCTGTGTTGAGGATTCCCTACAATTCATTCTCATGGTAAACTATATATATATATATATATATATATATATATATATATATATATATATATATATATAGATTAGATTCTTCAAACTTCTGCAATGTTTGTTTTACAACATGCGGATTTGCGTTGTCGTGGTGGAAAAAAGCATCCTTTCTATATGCCAAAACCGACAGTTTTTCTTGAACCCAAATATCTTCAAATGGCGAAAGGCACTTGAGATATCGATTTTACAACTCTTAGTGATCTCTTTCATCTAAATCTTCGGATTATTCTTTACAATAGCAAGCAGAGTGTTTTCAACGACGTCGGAATGTCGCCCGGAGTGTAGTCGATCGTTTAGCTTAAAATCACGCAGAGGAAATCTGCCAAACCACTTTTTGACCGTCCGAGGTGGAGCACAATGCAAATAAACCTATTGAATGTTGTTTATCGCAGTTCCGGCGCTTACCACTTTCCGAAATTCATAGAGCATAATATGGCGAAAATCCAATTTTTCATTCTCCATCTCTAAGGCATCCATTTGTGGTTATAACGTCAATAGTCAACAAAGTTTTACTCTCTACTGAACGATGCAAGGTTTCAATATGGAACACACCAGAAATCGGCAGTGTGTTGATAGGATCATTTTATATTGACAATGAAAATCGGGTACAGTCTTTTGAAATGATCTCATATATATATATATATATATATATATATATATATATATATATATATATATATATATATATATATATATTCTATGGGGAATATAGTAGTATTTATGAGTTTTTCTTAAGGATTTTTTCGTCTTGTTTATATTTAGGATACATCTGATTACATAAATATAAAAACAATGATATGTTAAGGGTTATTTGAGGAAATATTATGTTCTATTTCATTTATATTAAAATTTCTAATCGATCACCTTATTTGTTCGGCAACAATCTTGTTAGAAAAGTCATTATTAATGACAGTTTGTTTAATGGATTTTGGTTCAGTGTAGAAATCTGTTTTGTGGATGAGTTAACTTTTGCACAGTTCATATATATACATACATATATATAGGAGTTGTATATTAGGTATTAAAAGCAGAAATAATTTTTTTCAATTTTCTTTTTCATATTACGATAGATCATGTCTATTAAAAAATAATTTTCTAAAAGGTAATAGGTGCTTAAGTTTTTTATGCAAATTCATTGTAAATTAATCTCCCTACGAAATCCAAAACAAATATTTATAATCTGTAGTGCTTCATCGATAGTAATATGTAAAAATAAAAGAATCCTGGATTATGAATTCGAAATGTGTTTGAAGTTTTCTTTTACATTTTATGAAATCACGAGGTTGTTTATTAAAAAGAATTTTGATTTATTTTCTTAATGGTGGAGAAATCTATGACCTCTGGCAGGATTCGAACCTGCGTTCCCCAGGGAAGAACCACTTGCCATTTAACCCGAACCAAGCTAACCAAATGAACTACGAAGAAGAAACCAATGAATCTCGCCTTTAAGCGAACTTCTCTCGTCATAAATCTCCCGATTTTTTATCTGCGCAGTTTCGTATCCAAATGTAAAAAAAAAGAATTTCAGAATGAATTTTTTTTATTAATCTGATAGATTTTTTATCACTTTAAACATTATTTTACAAGAGCAAAAATGTTGAAAAACCAATAACATTTTTGTTCTTGTATAAAAATAATTGTTACAAAATAAAATCGCTACATTTGCCTTAATAAAGTCCGTCAGAGGGCGAAACGCGTTGTCTAAGTTGTCCTTTACTCTCTCTCTCTCTTTCTCTCTCTCTCTTTCTCTCTCTCTCTTTCTCTCTCTCTCTCTCTCTCTCTCTATATATATATATATATATATATATATATATATATATATATGTGTGTGTGCGCGTGTCCGCGGTATAGTTTGAACATACCAATCAGTACTGCAAGTTAACGCTTCAATGGGATCTTCAGACAAAAACTTAGGCAAATGAATCGAGAAATTTTTAGTACCTCCACATATATATTACAACTTGTTCTGAGGATTGCATTGAAATGTGAAACTGATAGTCACCATGAGGTGTGGATTCATATGTACACACTCTCTATATCAATAAACGCTGTTCGATATTGAGCATTCGTGTCTCTCGTGTGTCGCATATTTTAACTATATATATATATATATATATATATATATATATATATATATATATATATATATATATATATTAGTATATACATCATGATAAGTAAATACCCGTATTTGAGTATAAATCTCTATTTTAAAAAGTATAAATGTCGTCTACCTGACTGGGTTTTCGAGTGTCTTTAATGAATGCGTGTTCCTCTTATGTAGGGTAAACTACCATGATAGCCCAGCAGTCTTTTAGGAGCTTCGTGGAGAAGCGAAATCCAGCTACCCCTAGGAACAAAAAAACATATGTCTCAATAGGATCTTTAGAAGATAGTAACTGCTAACTTTATTTTCGTATCCGAAATATATATATATATATATATATATATATATATATATATATATATATATATATATATATATATATATATATATACGTGTATGTGTATTTGGCTAGTTAATTTTCCGTTGATGCAAGTTACATTAAAAACCAGCGAACGCCCTGTTTTCATTATCTTTTTACTTACCATTTCAAAGTTTCTAATAATTTTCCTGATTTCCGATTGGGATTGGAATATGAAATTTCCCATATTTGAGGACTGAGGGTTGTTAGCCAAAAATACTTCTATATGGGAAATTCCATATTTAAACACCAATCGGAAAGTTTTGAAAGGTTAAATAAAAACATAATGAAAACATGGCTTTCGCTAGTTTTTAAAGTAACTTGCATCTCCTCACATATATATATATATATATATATATATATATATATATATATATATATATATATATGTGTGTGTGTGTGTACACGACGTGGTGCTGAAGAGTTCTCGACCAGACCCAGTTCCGAAGATGTTTGGTCATTGAAATCTTGATTTTATGATATTTTTATTTGCCCCAGTGAAGGTCTTTAATAAGTATTCTTTATTTCATCTTTACATGGCTTTAGTATGAATTTTGAGGAATGCAAGCAAGTCTCAAGTAGCGATTTAAATGATATTTTTTGAATTTCTTAGCTGAGTTATTGTCAGTTATTTTTAGTTCTTGTCTAACTCATTCAACTTCTGTTTTATCATATCGTAATAATCACGTCGTTTTCTCACGACTTTTAATTAAGCAGCGCGATTAAGGACAATGAAAATATGATGAAAGAATTACTGCTCAATAATTTAAAATAACTGACATTTACTTTATTCAAAGCTAATTAATTCTACTAATGTAAATAACATGATGAGAGAATGGTAGCGAAGAAGGAAAGACTATAACTACATGATTTATTTGAATGACATTTAGAGACGCCTTTACGTCTTGATAATGAAGGCACTGTCACTAGGTAGTGGTAGTTAGCAAACTAGTCATGTAAGACATTGATAGTGAGTTTGACCCTCACTGGGTGCTCTATTATTATTATGATCTTATATTATTACGACTTTTAAGCTTAGTAAATAAGGACCGAATAGATGGTTGTAGCAGTTGCGTATTTTCTAACCTCATTAATCGTTTACATTCAAATTTCGAATTTTGATTTTCAAGGCTGGCTTTATTTCTTGCTGAAAGATTGGCAAGTATAACTTTCTTGCTACCCAACCAATCACTATTGTATTGAAATTGAGCTATGCTGTATGTCAAAGGCAAATGAAGATATATTCAAATGAAACGTCGATGATATGTAATCGAATAAAGGAAACATGTAATCTAGTCACGTGAATTAAGTACACGTTAGGATTACATAGTATTCAAAATGGAAAGGTATATTAAAACAACTGGTCAGTTACAGTGTTAAAAGAATCACAAGGGATCATTGGCATTTGTATGCTAAGTTTTTCAAGAGCCAGCACCTTAAAGCGTGGAGAAGAGTGATAGTCACGTTTCTGGCTGGTTAAGCGATTTAAAATCGTAAAAAATTGTTGCCATTTATCTGACCCATACGAATTGAAATAAAAAACAATTATTATTTTTTATTTGAATTCTTTGTCTATCTCAAGCCTAATTCAAATGTGTAAATCGAGAGCGATCAACTACAAACATTGTCTTGTGTTTTTAAGTTCCTCGTCATTATAATGTAATAACACTGTATATAAGAACCACTGTGACAAAGTTGTTCCACGCTGCTTTCTCACCCTTAGTGAGCTTCTTGGAGAATTCCTTGCATTCTATCATCTTCTTTATTTGTGGTCCGACGAAGACACCGGAAAGAAATTTTGAAGGTACCTGAAGGCTGCAGACTCCTTATCTACAGCTCTGACAAATTGTTTCATAAAGCCCAATTTTAAGTGCAGTGGGGGAAACAATAATTTCCGGGGTGGGGTAAAGGGAGCAACATTGGCTCCCATATGACGTTGTTCCTTTCCATACAACTTGATACGCTGTGGCCAGTTCCGCCTAGTCAGAAAAGTGAAATGTGAAGGAAATGATAGTCATTTCCTTTGCTTTCTAGACAGAAGCGATTAGGAAAACACTTACTGAGCAAAGACAAAAAAAAAATAGTTGAAATGTCTGTAATGGCTAACCGTTTGTATCTGAGTATACCTGTCTAATAGGTAGGCTAACTAATCCCTGCTGCGGACACCTGATCAGTCACATTTGTGTTTGTTCAACAGTTTTAGCATACGGTTTATGCTGAAAACTATGCTGAGTGGACATTAGTTAGAGTTTCTGCAAGAGAGCGTATCAGAGCAACAGTTTGAACAAGGCTAATATATTCAAACCCTCGGTCATGACGACTTGTGAGTTTGTGCGACGCAACCATCGACAGCTCCCAAATATTTCCGTATATTCATTTTTATCCACAAGGCTTGGGTCAACCCATTTTATGGTTTTCATTCACTTTCCAACGGTGGTCGGCTTCCCAGGTTAATAACGCCAAGAAGTCATCTTCCTGACAAATCGACCATGGTGAGATTCGAACCTGAAAAGCAAAAGTTCTAACATTTCGGCCAAGCCCACAGAATGATAGTAACTAGCATATTCTCACTTTTATTATATTGGATTTCATCTCTCGACAGGTCGTTCAAGGCGACCATTTCATATCCTGTCAAGCCCGTCATGGATGTCTAATACCAGCAAGTCCTTGATGCGTTGATTATAGATCTTTTTTTTATTTCCATTGATTTTATAGTAATATTATTCTGCTTGCTAGGTTTTAATGCTATAAATATGCATTAGTTGCATAAAGGAATATGATATATAATTTGTTAGGTGCATGCATATGGTGTATTGTTCAGGTTTTACACTTTTTTGTGGGAATTTACTTTTATTGCGAATGAATTGACATTTCTTATATATATGTGTGTACTTGAAAATTTCTTGTATATATGTATATGTGACTGAAATTTTTTAATTTTTCTATATTTGTTATTGTTCAAATATATATATATATATATATATATATATATATATATATATATATATATGTATGTATGTATGTATGTATGTATGTACAGGTACCTATACAACACTCTCAAACGCAAAAATTGTAGGATAATGCTTTCTTAAGGCCAAATGCACTTAGAAGATTTGTCTCCGAAAACCAGAAAAAGTGCTTTAAATCTTAAAAAGTAAATAAAAAATCTTGGACAAGATCTTTTGTTATTCTTCAAAGAAAGTTGCATAATATATATATATATATATATATATATATATATATATATATATATGTGTGTGTGTGTGTGTGTGTATAAACTTGTTTCCGCGCGATCTGTGGCTATACTTTTAACGATGGGGTATCCAGTGTGGATCTTCTCGCAAAACGCAACATTGGTGGAATTGGGACGTTCCTGATGCAGTCACATCTTCGTTGGGCTGCTTATGTTTCATGGAAGAGTGACAACAGAATACCTAAGGTCCTCACGTATGACCAGTTTGACAGTGGACAAAGGACTTTTGGACGGCCGGGGCTCAGATATAAAGACAAGCTAAAGAGTAACCTCTCAGCTGTCAATGTGCCTAACTTCGAGCGAGTTGCCTTGGATAGAAATAACTGGAGATATCTGTGTCAGAGTGGTATAGAAAATTCGAAATTAGTCATTTTGAATAGCTAAGAATCGAAAGGCAACGGCGAAAAGCGTGTTGGTATGTCCGGAGATCCTCGCTGTTATACAATATGTGGATTTGTATGCAGGTCACTAGCGGGACTGAAGTGTCACATACGATACAAATATAAAATTGAGGAAGGTTGTCGGATCCTCATACGTTGAAATTGACGGAAGAGTCCATATATATATGTATTTATATATGTATATATATATTGCATTTTACATATGAATTAATGAATTATTATTATTATTATTATTATTATTATTTCAGCAAGGACAAGTTTCCTGCATAGATGTATTGTGTCCACTGTTAGGATGCCAAAATCCAATACATGTTGAAGGTTTATGTTGCCCAGTTTGTCCAGGTAAGATTGATCAATTATTGTGCCTAATATAAATATACTGTTACAGGTACATATGTGCATATACATATTTTTGTGTCAATCAATGTTTCAGGTTAGTTAAGTCGAGTTTTTTTTTAGTTGACGGCAAAAGAAACAATTTCGACAACAGATTTTTATGTTATAAATCCTCAGTAGAATGACACTGTTGAATTCACCTACTCCTAAATTGACAAATTCATGCACCTGCAAAAGTTTCAGTATATTCAGATCTATCTATCTATCTATCTATCTATCTATCTATCTATCTATCTATCTATCTATCTATCTATATCTATCTATCTATCTATCTATCTATTCTTTGAAAAAGAATGACAAGTTTTCTCGATAAAATACTTTTCGATTATATTGTGAACGTGGTTATTTTGTCTCTTCTTGCTTAAAGCTTAATAATTTTTAGCTTCTTTTTAAATTTTAAATGCAGTGTAAACTTTTGGTATTAAATTTTAAAACAGTCACTATCCTTTCAGGACAACTTCAATTTATTGTTTAACAAGAACTATAAAGTAAAATTATGACAGTTCTTTAAATTCCCAAACAGTAATGTTTAGAAATAAAGGAAATAGGGCGAAGTGTTTGGCATCGTTAGCTTCTGTCTGAAGTCAACAGCTTTTGTCTGGCATTGACAGATTTCGTCTGGCATCGATAGCTTTTGTCTAGCATCAATAACTTTTGTCCGCCATCAACAGCTCTTGTCTGGAATCAACAACTTTTATCTGGCATTAATAGTTTTTGTCTGGCATCGACAACTTTTGATGGTATTAATCGGAGAAAGAAAGAAAGATATACAGTGATTAACGATCAAATAAAAAAAAAAAACAGAAAATGCTAAACCTAACACTTTTTAATTGCATCATCAAATAAAATAATATGAGAAAGAAATTCTTTGAGGCGCTTTTCCCGTCAGTAGCATAAAAATTCTTATCTATTTGTTGTCAGCGGATTAAAGGCACATTTAATCACTTAATGAAGTGTTTAATTTTAAAAGAAAGAAAGAAAGAAAGCGAAAAAGAAATTCCTGAAATTCATTTTATCCTAAGCGTACTTATTGGTGGCATCACCCAAATAAGAAGAAACGAAGTTCAAACGAAAAGCAAGTTCATCATCTGTAATTTTATCCGGATAACTTTTCGTGTGTATCATTACCTTTAACCCCTGTGCACTCTTCTACCTCACAGCGTACCTTACCATTTCACGGCTGAGTAGGGCCAACCGCTATATTATTATATCACCTGTACACCATAACATGTCGATGTACTTAATATCATGATTGTTTTCCAAAGTCGTTGTTTATTACGGTCAAATGATACATCGATTTTAAATTCTCTCTATTTCCCCCTCTCCTTCGCTTACACTTGTGCGACTTTCTTTTCTTTTAGTTTTCGTTCAAGCAAAATCATTGGACGTGACGCTGGATTGTTTAAGGCGTTTCATTTATTCGTTTAAAAGGCATTTTTTACACGCCAAAAAATGCGAAAAAAAAAATTTATAGTTAAATTGAGTGAATAAATTTGTCTTGTTTCTCGAATAAAGAATTACAATTGGTATTTTTACTTGACATTATATGGGAAAACATGATGTGCGAAATGTACCTATCAGACTGATAGTGAATAAGTGAATGACAAAATGTTACGTGCTTCGACCTTCAAAAGGAGTTCTTCAGACTAAATAATGTTTTTATAGATGCAATCATATATATATATATATATATATATATATATATGTGAAAATATATAGAAAATAGGAAGGAACTGGTTAGGTAAATAATCCAAAGTCCCTTAGTATTTTTTAGTTATTATTTTTTAAAAATAGTGCTCGATACAAAAGTAGAGCATAAATATAATTATTTATTTAAAATATGATTCCAAATCGCTACATATGCAGCGATTTGGAATCATATTTTAAATAAATAATTATATATATATATATATATATATATATATATATATATATATATATATATATATATATATATAAGGCTCAAACACTAATATTCCATGGTTATAATTTATTACATTGGAATCGTAATCACGATCCAATTCAGCAGACCTTCAAATTCAATATATATATGTATTCAATATATATATATATATATATATATGTGTGTGTGTGTGTGTGGAAGGAACGAAATACAACAAACGTCTACACTGAAAGAACACTGAAGAATACGGGAACATTTAATTTTAAATCTTAAAATTAATTTTTGGGTATTATATCCCACACAACACGCTTAATAAAATTTGCAAACTTTTAATAATATAAATGTAAAAATTCAAGTAAAAAAATTCAATACAAGCTAAAAGCAAATTCGCAGAGTCGATAAAAGGACCGATATATTTTTAAAAAGTTTATTTTATTAGTTTGTTCTTTACAGAGTACCGGAGCGAAACCACACCATAGTTAATGCTGCTAGCCTTTTAGTAGCAAGTAGTTTTTACAGGATGGAGTTGCCAGCCCAGTTTCCATTTATTCTTCTTTACAAGGGTTTGGGACCTGGTTTGAGTTCACAGCTCTTCTAGACTAGTTGACACACAAGGCCCAAGTCCACTTAGATATTACTAGGGTAGGAGTGGATTCATGCCTTTTACAAGAAAATAAAAGTTGTTTCATTAAAGCTTAAAAACATGTCTGCTTTTTAGGTTCCAAATGAATATAATCATTAAAAATTGCTGTTTTAAAAATTCAAAATCGTGTCTGCAGAAAAAGAATTTTTTTTTAATAAAGATAAACTGAGAGTCGATCTCATATGAATTCAATAATAACTTTGTTTACCTGCAGAAATTTTTCTGGCACAAGGCCACATTAGTGAAGTTCTAAATGAAGATTGAATTAATAAAACTGAAGCATTGGTTTGGAAGACGATCGGAAATAAATTTATTTTACTGAGCATTTTCATTTTGCTTTCAAATAAAACCTATCTATAATAATTGTAGTTGTATTAACAATTTCTCACTCCAATTTCGATTCTAGAATTAGAAGAAAAAGTTCGCTTTTCCATGGAGAAAAATATTTCGTGCTTCTTCGAAGCTGACAACAGATGGCACCCAGCTGGTACAGAATGGTATCCTTATCTGCATCCATTTGGATATTCTGCTTGTGCTGTCTGTTCCTGTTTGGTAAGTAACATTTGGATATTTCGATTAATTCCCGTGTCTGTTCACCAGTTTTTTCAAGAACATACCACTGTGTTGCATTTAAAAAGAAAGATGTATAACAAATTTTCTAATTCCAGCCTCGCTGGTGTTCGTGGCTGGCTTGCTTGTTCTTATTCTTGTTCTTGTTCCTCGTCGTCGCCGTCGTCGTTGTCGTCTTTCTATGACTTTGAATAAAACAGTTGTGAGGTCGAGCCTTGCGAGGTCAAGCCTTACCGGAAGTTGATTATTTCCAATTCGTGTTGCTTAATACTGAATGTAGAATTGACGATTTGAGTGTTGCGATAAAAAACAACTAAAATTGGTACGCAATAAACAAACAAAAAAAAACAATTATAATTATAATTCCTACTGTAACATTTCAGCTGACCCGTTCTTGAGCCTTCCTCAGATGAATAATAATCTTCGAAGAAGAGAAAAATTCCACTTTCTTCAATTTTTCTTCTTTTTTTTATGAACTTTAGGTAGTTTGAAGAATGAGTCGGTCGAAACATTATGGTCAAAACATCGAGAAACAAAAACAGGAGTACACGTATCCGAACAAGATTACGGATGTTAACGATTCTTCTTAAAGTTATAATCAGTGGAAATTTTCTTTCATGTGCCATGTTTCTTCAGGACGCAGGCGATCATAACTTCTTGCCTTTTATTGCTCTAAATATATTGTGACTCTAACAACTCTCTTTGACATTGTTTTGCCATGCTTTCGCTCAAACCCGTTAAGTAGTTTACTCACTGTTTAACTCTGCTCCTCTTGTCGTCACTATGATCTTTGAATGTTAAATCACCCAAGCCTTCTTTTCTTATTATGTACCCTGAAATTACAATTGTCTCTTTCTGGCTGTAAGTATAAGCTCCCTAGAAGTTCCCAGTTTTTAAAGCTTCCTTGTTACCCACATGTTCTGCTCATGGTATTATCTATATAATACCTATAAATACCGCTTCAAGTTTATTCTTCATCTCTAAGAAGATCATCCAACATTCACTGCTATGTAGGAGATTAGCTATTATGTAGTATATTCACTTTTTGTTTTTAACGAAATTTTCCAATCTCTTAATCATTTGCTTACTTTCTGAAAGACAAATTTCACAGTTTCTGTGCGTCTTCGGATTTCTGTGTCATATTTTCTGTCGTTTCTACACTACCCAGATAGTTAAATTTGTTCATTTTGATCGAGAGATTGGAGGTTTTGAGGAGCGTGGTATTCACTTCTTAATTGATCTTCTTCGCGGGCCCACACTGACAAGGGTGGTAACACCTGTTAGGGTCCCAGCGATGGGCAAATAGTGAACCACAAAACAAAAGCAAAACACTATAAAAATATAAAGATACATTTTTATAGTAAAATTACCAGCAATATATTTTTATAGTAAAATTACCAGCAATATGTATTCATAGTAAAATTACCAGCAATACATTTTTATAGTAAAATTACCAGCAATAAGTATTCATAGTAAAATTAACAGCAATACATTTTTATAGTAAAATTACCAGCAATATGTATTCATAGTAAAATTACCAGCAATACATTTTTATAGTAAAATTACCAGCAATATGTATTCATAGTAAAATTACCAGCAATACATTTTTATAGTAAAATTACCAGCAATACATTTTTATAGTAAAATTACCAGCAATATGTATTCATAGTAAAATTACCAGCAATACATTTTTATAGTAAAATTACCAGCAATACATTTTTATAGTAAAATTACCAGCAATATGTATTCATACTAAAATTACCAGCAATACATTTTTTATAGTAAAATTACCAGCAATATGTATTCATAGTAAAATTATCAGCAATACATTTTTTATAGTAAAATTACCAGCAATATGTATTCATAGTAAAATTACCAGCAATACATTTTTATAGTAAAATTACCAGCAATATGTATTCATAGTAAAATTATCAGCAATACATTTTTATAGTAAAATTACCAGCAATATGTATTCATAGTAAAATTACCAGCAATACATTTTTATAGTAAAATTACCAGCAATACATTTTTATAGTAAAATTACCAGCAATATATTTTTATAGTAAAATTACCAGCAATATGTATTCATACTAAAATTACCAGCAATACATTTTTATAGTAAAATTACCAGCAATATGTATTCATAGTAAAATTATCAGCAATACATTTTT